CACAAGCCTCTTGAGAGGCGCGATCTCTGACCTAAGATGATTTGTGATAAGATCTAGAATCTTATTTCATCCTCAGTAACTCTGAATTGCCTGCTATGCCCGCGCTCACATAAAAAAAGAATGTAAAGCTACTCACTTCAAAGACTTCTGAAAGATATAGCCGACAGATTTTATAAAAGTTATGTCTATCAAGAATCCAATCATTCTTTTTTCTTTTTTTTTTTTTTTTCAATAGAACAGTGAAATGAAATTTTTAAAAGATCATCAATGACTTACTACTTATCATTGAAGATTATATTAAGATAACTTATTGATAGGCTTATCTATAATATTGATAGAAAAAAATTATTTTAATTTAAAAAAAAAAACATAAAAAATTTTATTCTTTTATTTAAATGCAAGAAGTTACTGATAAAAATTTGACTAAAAACTGAATTAATCTTTCGATCAATAATCCTTGATAAAAATAAAAATTGCATCTGGCAGTAAATAATACTACCAATAAATTCTTAAAAATATTAACATGACTTATTTATTTTCATCGAGTCGTAATATATGTGTATATCTGCAACAACATCAAAGAAGTTTAACTCCAACCGTTTGCAAAGGTTACACGCACTTGTTTTTCACCCGTAAAAATGCTTTATTCATCCATCACGGCTAAAAAATAACTCGAAAACAGGTTATTCGATTTTCCCGGTAATTACAATCAAATATATATCATTAAATTTGTTGATTTTCTCGGTGTTTACTAGAACACGTTACACGCACCGCCGGAATGCTACTTTTCTTTATCTTGGATAATAATCTTAAAAATACCGAGAAGAAATCTCTTGAGGACTTATTAACGATTTACCTGTCTGCAATTAGTGTTAATTTGATAATGCAAATTTTTATTTTAAACACTGGAAAAAAACTTGTAATTTAAAAAAAAAACAGTAATTTTCTTGTTGGAAAAAAAACTAATAGATAGACAACTGATAAACATTTAAGGCTGCATTCGAAAATGCTCTATCTCTAGATATACATAATTAAGAAATTACCTTGTATCTTGTGAACTATTGACATTTTTAAAGATATAAGCTCATCTCGATGTTATACTCATCGAGACCTTTCATTTGAGTCCCCACATCAATTTTTCATATATTTTATATATT